AATGATAAATATGCTCGTCATCGAAAGTCGTATGACTGAAATAAAGAACCCACAAAGTCGACGAAGCATTGATTCCTCCGCATGGCAGCCGCCAGTCTGTGGGTGTAGGTGCGGATGTGGGTGTTTGGGTGTGGGTGGGTTTGGGTTTGGGTGTTGGTGTGGGTCTGGTGTGGGTGTGGGATGTGGACGGGTATGGGTGTTGGTGAAGAGTAGATCCGTACTCACGCCCACACCCACACATTCACACCCACATCCACCACAACCAAACCCACCCACACCCACCACTCACACCCACGCCCACAACACCCACACTTCCACATCCACCCACGCCACGCTCACACTTGCCCACATCCACCGCTCACACCCACCGCTCACACCCACACCCACACCCCACACCCACAACACCCACACCCCACACCCACAACACCCACACCCACACCCCACACCCACACCCATAAATTAATTACCGAGCTCATTTCTCTCTTTTTAAAACCAATTAAACACACCGAGCTCAAATATCTCTTTTTTCCGAGCTCATTTATTATTTTATCCATATTCTTATTGAACTGTTTGGAGAATTATATGCATATACTAAACAATCATCAATATTACCGTATGAGGCTTTACTTTTATTACGTCCATTGCCATTATTACGTGCACATATTGGTTTGTCGGATCGTTTAATGAATAAAATGGTTTTAGAATTTGCTGCATCAACACAACCATTATATCCTCAAATACTTGCATATACAGTTTTTGCTTTATTTCGTGCTTTAATTAATGCACGTTATTCGGCTAAAGTTAATGAATGGACTTTATTATCAATGACAAATATTGCACAAAGAAAATGAATAGGTATGGCTATATGGGGGTTAACTTGTCTTATGTTCAGTGCATGTCCATCACATACAATTGCTGATTCATTATAAGTATTTACTTAAATCATTTATCCTTGCTGATTCTTTTTTCTTAGTTCTTTATATTAATCTTTAAAGAAAAACAAAAAATTTGTATTAAAATTTCATACTGATAATTTAATAGTGAAGTCGTATTTGGACTGTTGAATGAGCTATTTTTTTCCACCTATGGTTATATATTCTTCCTAGTTTTTTTAAAAATTATCAAGACTTACACATACGATTAAAATTTATTTGGAAAAGATAAATAGTAAAACATTAATGAAAAAAAAAACTCGTTGTTGCAATCCGAAGGAATGACGATCAATACAAAATCAATAAATTTCGCTATGAAATGTCAAAATGAATTCTCATAGATAATATGGTATATCTTTTACTTTTTTAGGCATTCATTGATGTTATCATGTTTCAGTGCTCATTTGAAGCATTAAACAATCGTTTATTTCTTATTGCTGGTCGAGAATATTATTTGCAGGTATTATAAAAGAGACAAAAGAAAAGCTCCAAATATTAATTGTATGAAAAAAAAAATCTATTTTACTTATTTTAGTTAACGAATATTGAAGAACGACGTCAATTTGAACAAGCATTCATCAACGAATCGAATCCAAAAAAATTATATGCTGATTTACTTGCACACATTCAAAATACAATCTTATCATGGTCTTGGTGTGGGTGTAGATGTTGTTTGGATGTGTCGATGGATCATATACTCTCTCTCACCCACACCCTCAATAAAGACTAAAAATATCAATTCGTAAAATGAAAACATATCAACAAGAATTAATTTATCTACTTGAGGGTGTGGGTGTGGGTTCTAGCTTACGAGAAGACACCCACCGACAACCACACGCACGCCCACATCCACAATAGTAAAAATTTTTTAACACTATTAAACGTAATCGATTTTCTGTTAAGAAAACGATACATCGACCAGGGGACTTATTATGATGTCTATTTGTCTTTATCTTCTCTTTTATTGAGAAGTGTCCAATTTCTCAAGCTCAAGGGTTATTGTTACGTAGTAACATGTTCTTTTCTCTCGTGCTTTTCTTCCTTTTGTTATTCTATATGCTATTCATGTTATTTTTCCTTACTATTCGATGTGTGCAATGGATTTTTCCACTTGTTCACAATGTATATAAATAATAGGTGATTTGTTATTATAAAGAGGAGAAGCAGCAGACTATGCCAGTTGTTATTGTCATCTTACATTTCACGTGAGGATTACGCATCACAGTCATTTTATTGAACTGTACTATCAATCATTTTGTTTTTCATTAAAGCATATAATGCCGATGAATAAATTCAATTCAGCCAAGAATCTAACAAGTCATATCCTTTCATATAGGTTCTTAGCACATGAGAACATGAACAAAGGTGACTATGAGGTCTTGACCTCGAAATCATATATATATAGGTTTGCGGAGGAAGAAGTGCTCTATCTGATGGTATAAATATTTCCAAATTCTATTGCGTACGGTGATAGAAAATTTAAAAAAAGAATCATAAATTTGACATATTTTTTCAGGGATCCTTCTACACCAAAATTTAAATCGTTTAGAACCAAGTCAACGCCTAATCTAATGATGTATGTATCGTTCGACAGCACACAATATTTACTTTCATAATCCATATTATTCTTCTTTATATTCAATTTATGATGTGACCTATAATAATTTAGAAAAAAATGTGACGCTTTTTTCATGATCATATTTGCAACAGTATTTACATTTTCACTTTTGGCGTTCTAAAATATATTTCAAAAATACGGAATCGTAGAAATTTCGTCCCTCTACAAACTAATACGTAATATGACCTTTTACGATTTCATTTATACAATTTATAAATACTTAACTGAGTCAGGGCAATGCAGACATTACGCTTTGTTGAGCACGAAGATACGTAAGTTGTATAGGATGATCGTCCGTACCACATGTGTTGACGGGTTAGCTAGGTTTTACTCAATTCATTGAACCCACAATCGACACGTAGCCCAAAGATCGAACTGTATTTTTACGTGTACCCGCGGGTTGAATCCATTCGCAAATTTTTGTCTTTCATTCGAGTAATACAAAAATTCTGCATTGATTTCGTTTTCTGATTTGCACTATAATGGTATGTCGTCGAGACTTTATTGTTTTTTTTTTACTATTAAAAATAGTGAAGTGTCTAGTGCAAAATGT